TTATTTACAAATGTTTTGTTTCTACTTGTTACTATTAGGATGCACTCTGTTCGATTTTGAGCATGGTTTATCTGGCTGGACCTTGAGTGGTACGGCCTTTAACAACCAGCCAACATACGGGGATAATCCCACAGCGAGAAACAGGGGCCAGCCGTCCAGACACGAGGGAGACTGGTGGATAGGAACCTTCGAAAATCGTCCCAGGCCCTCTGATTCTGGCGGTGGAAGTCAAGGTGATGACAAAAAAGGTACACTGACATCACCAGTTTTTGTCATCACTGGAGACACTTTTAAGTTTCTGATTGGTGGAGGTTGTAATGCATCTGTGATTCGAGCTGAGCTGTTGGTGGAAGGAAATGTAGTGCTCCAAGAGACTGGGAGTTGTCATGAAAGTATGGCTCAAAGAAGCTGGGATGTGACTGGCTACAAAAATAGAGAGGCACAACTGCGTTTGATTGACAATTACTATGGTGGCTGGGGACACATCAACTTTGATCACTTTGAAGAAATTTGTGACTGAGTGTAATTATAACAAAAGGAACCAGTCTATATTCATCGCCAGTGTGGAAGAGAACTTTACAGGGGGAATCATATTGTTTTCAGGGGGGAATGGAGGGGGATCAGATGTTGCAAACCCAATATAAAGAGTTTAGAGGAGGGACTATTATTTCATTCTTTAGTAAACTCACATATCTAATTATTTGTTTCTTTTGGCTACACTAGTCAGGGTTTTCCCCTGGATCCATTACCACCTGTATGCATGAAACAAAGCCATTGTCAGTCAAGGCATCATGTACCTTTATTGTCAACATTGGAGCACAAACCATGCAAAATAATACTTGAATCCTAACAAATCAGCAACTTGCCATCACCTGTTTCTCTTAGCCCATCCTATCCCAATGTGACTTTAGGCAGTGTGCGTGCACATGAGGTAATTTATGAGGTAATCCATACTTCATGTTCCTATAATACATGTAACACTCCAACGTCATCTAGGGTGAACTGGTAGCTTCCCATAAAGTGGTCGCAAGGACAACCTGCTGCTACTTGGTCACTGCTCAAGTAACCTGAAGTGTGTCATACCTGTAGGTATTACCACAACCAGTGTAGGACTCTTCCATGCTGATGGCATTTGACTTTATGTGGATGTCATTGTCACCACCAAAATTTGGGCCAAATGAGGAACATTGATAATTGGCATTGTTTGCCATGTTGGGATTTATGTGAAGTTTCGTAGGCTTATAACCATCTTTGTTGTACAACATGGAGATAAATGTGTCATTATCAGTGGCATATGCACATTTGGCCAGACCTAAAACAAATATAGAACCACAAAGATTCTCTTAAAAACCAATCAGATGAAGGCATGTAGCATCACCAAGAATAATCATGAATGTTGTATAACACTTACACTGTAACATTTCATTTATTCTACTTTTCAAATACACGTTCTCCTTGTAAATGAAGTTACTGTTGGCTAAATCAAATGATATTTGAAAAATAATACTACTCTTAATAACATTAATGACAAAAATTTAAATTGGAACTTTACTCAGCACCAACTTTGAGAAAATGTGGCTTTGTGGACTGTTGTTTGTAAACTGGGAAATTTCTTTTGTTGTTTATTTTGTTTATTAGTTTTGTTTATTTTTTGTTTATTTGTTTATTAGTTTTGTTTATTAATTTCAATCTGTTCTAAAATGATGAAACACGTTAGTACTACGAGTAGAACTCTAGATGGAAGCAGATCCAAAACTAACATCAAACGAGAGGAAAACAACATTTACTGATGTGCCACACAAATTATTTTATTAAGCACATGGGAATTTTGGGTCAGAGATGTGGTAGACCACGGGCATCCCAAGCTCACATCTCAGAAAAAAAAAAGTGCAAGACTAATTCTCAGATATGTACCTTTGTATTTATTCATGAAAGCATTCCATGCTGTGTGACATGGAGTCACGGTGTCAAGTGTTCACTTGAATACCTTGAATATGATTTTAGTACAGACCAAATAAACTCACTTATAAATCATACCATGTGCCAAACTCTGAATATTTAAATTCAATATGGTGGAATCCAACTTTCAAAAAACCTGAACACACTTTTGCCCCTCCGATCTCCTCCCAAGAATTATGCAACAACATAATTATGTGTTTCGAGACTTTATTCTGATTTAAACCTTTTTTTGCACTGATAACACTTATGGGGTCTTTCAGGACCAGGAGATTCACAACAATCTGGGAAGGTAAGGGGCTTGCTAAAAGTGTATAACATCTTCTTGTGTTTATGTACAGTGCTACAATTACAAAACATTCTTCACACCTGCTGCATTCTGTTTGCTCCTTTAGGATTTAGATTCCTTTGGATAACCTTCCTTTCCACAATGCAGCCTTCTCTTGAGGACTTTGGCATTGCTCAAAGTTTTGAACCTTTTCTCACAAAAACCACATTTATAGGGAGGCTTACCATTTTGAATTATGCCATGCTGAATGGGCTGAGATTCAGTAGAAAAGTGCACATTACACAAAGCACATTAATCTTTACACTGACATTATTATGCAGTCTGATGTGGATAACAAGGGATTGTTTCCTGAAAAACTTTCTGTCATATAACCTGCACTTGTAACACCAATCTCTTACATACATAACCAGATGTGGAAGTTTTTCTTTTCATGATCTATTCAAGATCATATAAACATTTAAAAGGTTTTTAGGCACTGCACTCCCTTTCATGAACAGTTTCATGGACTAGAGTTGTCAGTCTGTTATCACAAACACCAGTCAGAGCAGCTGATGCTTCAGAAAAATTTTTTAGTCAAACTCTGTACATTTGTCTCCAGTTTCTGCTGTGTGCATTTTCATTTGAAGCTCCCAGTCCTGATGGATGTTGAAGGCTTTGCTTCAAGCTATACATTGAAAGGACAACACTTTAGTATGCACACCCATGTGATACTTAAGAGAAGAGGCATACCCAAAATATTTAGAACAATGTTCACACTGAAATGGCTTGGCACCAGTGTGTCTTCTTTGGTGTTTCTTAAGACCCCAACTATCAAGGAATCTCCGATCACAAAGGTCACACCTGAAAGGTCTTTCTCCAGAATGAATCTTTTTATGGCGCCGAAGGGATGAGCTATCTGCAAATGACTTGTCACATTCAGAGCATTTTTCTGGCTTTTCCCCTGTGTGAGTTCTGATGTGGTTCTTCAGGTGGCGTTTGATGTTAAAAGCTTTGCTGCACATCGGACATTTATGGGGTAACATTCCAGTGTGTGTCCTTATATGCACTGTTAGAGTTGAAGCCTCCTTAAAATCCTTCTCACAATGTTCACACTTGTAGGGCCTGGCTCCAGTGTGTGTCCTTTTGTGTTTTTTAAGAGTTCCACTTTCTGAGAACCTCTGATCGCACTGGTCGCACCTGTAAGGTTTTTGTCCATTGTGAGTCCTTTTGTGGCGCACAAGAGCTGAACGTTTTACAAATGCCTTGTCACATTCAGTACATTTTTCTGGCTTTTCCCCTGTGTGAATTCTAAAGTGTTCTTTCAGGTAACTTAAATATATATAACTCTTATCACACTCTGGGCACTGATAGTCTTTCTTTGCTTTGTGTAATTTCTTATGTCTACGGAGGCCTGATGATTTTGCAAACGACTTCTTGCAATAATTACATTGGAACGATTTCTCAGAATTGTGCATATTTTCGTGTTGTTTGAGATGTGACAGTGATTCACATGTCTTTCCACATTCACTGCAAATGAATGAACCATCATCTGGTGTCTTGATGTCTGACATTTCCGTCATTAACATTGTAGTGTTAGCACACACTACTTGTTGGAACCCTAACAGCTTAGCAGCCGCTCTGCCTGTTTCTCTATCCGGGACATTGAAAGCTTAGGAGCCACGCGGTTAAATTTGGGTGAAACAAAGATGGCGGATGCGAGAGAATTACAAGCGAATCTTACCGAATATCGTGCTCAGTTCAGACAGGCGAGTTTCTTTTTATGTTTGAAAGATATAAGAATGAATCAGGATAGCCAATTTTTAGCTCTATTGAGCTCTATTTGAGTATTCTTTCGAACAGTCCATAATTGAGAAGAAAACATGTAAATTTTCCCTTTACTGAACCAGGTCGAAGCCGCGCTGACGACGGATCCAGATAATGACGAACTCATCAAGTTAAAACAAGATTTACAGGTAAAGTTTACTCTTTGATTGTTTTTATTTGCTGGTAAATCATCTCTTTCGCGTTTGGCCTTTGAGTGTGTAGTGCAGTACTTCAACACACAAAAGAGTTTCTCCGGTCAAATGCACACAAAACCAAATGATTGCAGAATATTGAAGTTACTATGTTCCCTCAAATACTCATGGTTATTTACTTTATTTTTGTTGTTGTTGTTGTTTTTTTTTACTCCAGGAGGTGATAAATCTTACATTAGATCTTCTGAAGGTGAACGAGGTAAGGTTTACATCATGTATGTATTCAATCATTCTCTTTACTTCAGTAAACTACACATTGCGCAGTTTACTGAAGTTAAGATTGGCATTCAGGTAATACACAGTACGCCATCAAGTGTAAAAATTCAATATTTTGAGTGTGCAACCGATTTAGCACTAAGAATAAATCATGCATCAGTTAAATAGACAAAGGAAAATGTTTTTGGTTGATCTTTTAGTCATACTAAAGTTACAGCCACCTTTTTGAAGCAAAGCAAATGAAAAGGAACAGAGTTCATTTTTCCTGTTAATTTGTTGACCCATTCTAGATAATACTCAAGAGATTGTCTTTGAAAATTGCTCAAAGAAATATTCTTCCTGAGATAATTATTATTTATGGTTGAAGTATGAAATTAATTTCTGGTCACAATGACAAGCTTGACTTGTTTTGTTTTTTTTTTTTATCCTTTTCAATTTGTTTTACAGTAGTCTCCAAACCTACAAAAACATGTCAAACAAGATTGAAATATTTGAAAACCTCAGTATGTACTTTCTTGATTCCCATACAATGTACATAGAAAACATGAGACCTGTCAAGAATTCCAGATGGTCTGTGATGAAGATTGAATCAGCAGATATACAAACTTAAGGATTGTATGATCACATACTTGATGTATGATAACATATGTGAGAAAGATTTCACCCATGTTGAGATTCATGTCAGACATGTTTAAGATCTTTTACATGTGTGTGCCTCCTTTCTATTAGAAAACTGTCATTCCCTCAGCTGCCTTCAAATGGAAAGTTGGACAAAAATGTCAAGCTGTGTGGAGTCAGGATGGAAGGTAAAATCTGGAGCATCACCATGTTTCCTACATTTTGTACTTTTTTTGAATGAGGTCCTTAACCCTGTATACCCAAACATCAGTATCCATATTCTCCATATTGTGTTCTATATAATTATTTCCTAAGGTGCTGACTAGGAGAATTTGTCTAACAATCAGAAGCCTCGTTAATTTGTGATCATTTCCCTTATTCTTATCACCTTTATGAGTGATTCAGAGGTGATACTGTTAGGAGATTTTAGATGTTGGTCACTCTAAGGGCTCAAAGGGTTTATTAATAAAATTAATATTCAAGGAATGGTGTTTCAGCCAGAGGGAGATAACGAAGTATATCTAGGAACCCTTCCTTGGATTCAGGCAGGTGGGGAAGACAGAAGCTGAATTTTGTAATCATAAGAATTGGTGTTAACTCTGTTCCTTTTCTTTCTTTAATTTGTTATTTGTTATGGAGTTTGATCATAAATAAGCTATGATGGTTATTTTCTTTCTTCAGTTACTATGATGCAACTATCGATAGTATATCAGAAGACTTCACAACATGCACAGTTTCATTTGAAAAATACGGAAATACAGAAATTGTAAAGGTCAGTGAGTAATAAGCTATATTAATAGTTTCTGAAACAAGAAGTATTTCCCACCCTTACTGGAGCACAGATTTATCCTCAAAGTGCCACCAAGGTGAAAAGTGTTGCACTGTGTTTCAAGCCATGCTGGTCTTTGTGGCAAAGTCAGGTTTTCTTTTTCTTTTTTTTCTTTTTTTTTTTTCTTTTTTAATAAATCACTTCCCATTTAACCCTTTAATTCCTGTGAGTGACCAAGACTAAATTTGTCCTTACAAAATCATCAAGAAGAAAAAATCAAGAAGAAAAGTGATGAGTACCAGGAAAAGTATCAATTGGGGGATTATTAGTCAATCCAACACCAAATTCTCAGAAGTAACATGAGAAGAATTGTATAGCAGACAGTAAGGAGAATTACTAAAAAGATCTTGGGAGTTAAAGGGTTAAAGTGTTCACTATTACCAGATTATGTGTATTGTACACTATATACTCCATGATTGTGATTTATTAAAGCTAGGAAAACACACACACAGCACATGTGAACAAAACATATCAGTGTGGGAAAGAGAAGCAAGAATTTTACATAAAAATATTCACAAACAAAGTGAACAGAAATCAAACAGTGTTGATTCACACAGTGCATTTCAATTTCATGCAGGTTTCATCACTAAGAGAAAAAGAACAAGCTGATTCCTCTGCACCTAAAAGGGTGGCTGAAACTAGCATTATGGCTGCACCAAGCACTTCAAAGAAATCTAGGTACTGCTGTTCATAAACTTGCATGTGTACCTACTATACCTCTTCTCATCAGATAAGATTATACCAGAGGTTAACTCAACCTTTTCAGGTCCTGTTCCTTTTTTTTTCACACATTGTAGATTATCATTTAAGTGGCCTATTTGCTAAATATGACAATTGGAAAACATTCTCTTTCTGAAAGGCATGAAAGAGAAGTTTGGTTTCAAAGGCAGAATCACCTTCACCAAATTTAGCCTCAACCTAAAGAACAAACAATAGCTAAAGTGAAAACCAGTGGGCCAATAACTTCCAGAGTTATGTGTTTCACTTTCAGCAGCTTGAATCATGTAGGACTGCTGCTACTCCCCCCTGGATGGGTTGCCAGTCAATCAGGTTTTCCCGACAGTTAGCTAGTATCATTTTATTCCTGGGAGGAGAAGGAGGCTTTGTGAAAGTTTACTTCTTACTCAATGACCTGACTTTCTTGGTCAAGTCATAATTCTGATGAAATTCAACCCTTTACACCCTGACATCAGTTTGTATATTCTCTGTACTGTTCACCACACATTTCCTAAGGCACAGACTTGAAGAATTTGTTCAACAATCAAGAGGTTCTTTAGTTGGTGATCATTTCCTTTATTCTTGGGACCTTAATGTGTGAATTTCAGGGATGAAATTGTTGGGAGAAATGAGATGTTAGTCACTCCAAGGGGTTAAAAGGTTAAATTGGAGAAACTACATGTAAAGTCCTCTACTCTGACTTAAAGCACTTTCTAATATCCTTAACTTTCGAAATTTATTCAATTTGTGCAATTCATGTTAAATTGCAGTCTCTTTCAATGATTTCAAGACATCTGTTTTATTAATTTTTTTTGGGGGGGTAGGGCCAATGAGGATGCTCTTCGTGAACAGAAAAAGAAGAAAATGATGAAAAAGAAACAAAGAGCCAAGGTAAAGAGTTGTAAATAAGTGAAGTCAGAGGATTGGTGAAATCAAACTACAATACCTGCTCCAGCAAGATACCAAAATATTGCAAATCTACAAAATTAATATCTTGTAGAATTCTTGCTCTACACAGTATTGTATTGTCCATTGATTAATCTGAGGGTCATTGGCAAGCAACAGTCATAACTATACTGTTGCGACATAGTGCATGTTTGTAAATTGCTTTGTACATCTCTTCTAAGGAAATTGAAGAACAAAGGGAAAAAGACAAACAGAACTGGTTGGATTTCTTCCATAATTCAAAAGTAAGGCAGAGTGTGTGTGTTTTATGATAATTTAAATTACCATTATCATTATCATCATCATCAATTTTTTTCCACTGTGGCAGTATTTGTACAGTTGTTTTACTTACTCCTTCTTGTCAGAAAGCCTGAATGGGTTTCTGCCAAACTGTCATGGAAATGTGTACTTTTCTGGGTACATCATCATGAAAATCATTTTACTCGACTCACACTTGTGCAGTTGAGGGATGCAGAGGGCTGATGGTTATAAGCTGAACCCCAGATCAAGGGATCCAGATTTAAGCCATCAAGCCATGGCCAATTTATTGTGTTCTATTGTGTGGCATGACAACTCTCTCTCATAATGCTCCTCTCCACCTCATGAGTCTAAATGGGTACTGGTGAACTCTCAGGGGGAGGGGGGTGTTGCCTAACCTGCTTTGAAGCAGCCTGCTTCATGTTGCAGAAACTGGGGACAAGCAAGAGCAGTTATGGGTGGCTAGGCCAGTAAGACACACGCATAACTGACACCTTTGACGCAGTTATGCAGACTTACTTAAGGACTCCCAAACCCAGGAATGGAAGAGGTTAAAATTAGGGACAAAACCTGTGGAGACAATTTGTCCGTGAGCAGAAGATGCCTCCAAATATTAATACCTTCCTCCTCTTGCTTTGTGAATGTTAATTGATCTTGTTCACCTACTGCATATCAAGATATGTTTTCCTAGGATAAAAAACATATCAAACAACATTGACAGGTTGTGAAGGAGCTGGAAGAGTCGGATATAAAAGCTTATGTACATAAGTTGTTTCAACTGTCTTTGTCTGCGGTTGTAGATCAATTGTAATATGTTTTTAGAAATTAGGAATGTTGAATGGCCTCTTTTGGAGGGAACTTGTGTTATTCTGCAGTCACGACACACTTAGCTAAGCACACGTTTGTTTGTGGTTATCAGACTTTTTTTTCTGCTTGATTTAGGGAGGTGGATCCAGCAAATCTGGAAAGAGTCTAAAGGGTGTGT